AGCTAGAGGGTTCTTCTCCACACATGTTATACTTGCATACAAAATGATTTCCAGTTGTTCATTTAATAAATTGTGAATTTCAATACTCCAGATTAACCGTGAACAGCACTTTTTTAATCTTCAAGTTTTCCTTAAGTTATTGAATTGGACGGGAAAACGCATACAACAATTCAAAACATTCTTCAAAAGTCCCCTACGTGAAAAGCACAATAGAGATACAATCAAAGATCATTAAACTTTGTGAAAACTATAAGCATTGACGAGGCATTCGTAACTATGAACGGGGTGACACTTAGCTTTCACGATAAAAGATAATGAATAAAACTAATAAGTAATCATTGGTCGTGCTTGTTGACTTTCCACAGCTTTCCTCTTGAACGGGGTGACACTTAGCTTTTTACTTGCAAGTGATGATTTGATGATATTGTACGGCGAGGCTTTGCTCTTTGGGAATGTTGCAGTAGCTTATTTGTTCTCCAAGCAGATGTGGCAGCTTCTCTAGTTCCTCAGTTCGGACTCCTTCCGCTGGGATGATTGTGCAAGCTGCATTCTTCTCTGCTTGTTTCTTCTGCACAACGGGCAGGCACGAGGGAAAGGTGTTGGTCCTTATTTCTTTCTTCAATCTTTCCAAGTGCCCACCTCTTGCTTTCTTTCTCCTTGTCCCTAGCTGAATTGTCTCCACATGCTTCGAGGTATCATTTTCACTTCCCTTACTGTCCCCCAGGCAGATGTGGTAGACGAAGAGAAAGCATAAAATGATGAAGATGAGTACTCGAGAGCAAGGCTAGGTAAGCAATCAGGAAGGGGTTCCAGGCAGTTGGCTCCAGATCGGAAGATTGATACCAAATGCTGGCTGATTGCTCTCTTTCTCCTTGTCGGAAAACAAAGACAAGGAGAAGGACATGGAGAAAGCATGATATGAGATACTCTTGCTTTCAACCTTTATGATATGAAATACTTTTGCTTTGAATGGGTTGTTCGCAGGAGTATCCCAAGGAATGAGGAACACAGAGTGACTCGAGAGGATTCTTTGGGAATGCATTTTCGGAGATGAAGAGGTGTTAAGAGGGTGTGCTGAGAGAGTGTGCTTTTGCTGTGGAAGGCGAAGGTAGAAACTTATAGGACTTGTCTTCACAACCGGAACTGTTCTCTCACTTAGTGTCGGCAGCCGGTGGATGGGTGAAGAATACAAATTACGCGCTTTCTGACAAAGCTGCCCGTAATTTCCGCAAAGCTGCCAGTTGCATGTGACAAGTGCTGACTAGGCTGAGAGAGACAGATGGTTGGAATCGGCACTTCGACAGACTGCCCGTGATTTTCGCAGAGCTGAGTTTGCGTGTGACGGGTGACAACACGTCTGGACGAATTGATCTTGCGAAATCCGGGGTTCGGCTCGTGGTTTCTGAGCAAGCCCAACTTTTAAGAAATGAACGCCTCTTTTGAGAAAAGAATCCGACTTTTGAGAACGGAAACTCCTCTTTTGAGAAAAGAATCCGGCTTTTGAGAAAGGTGCCCCGACTCTTCGATTTGCGAAAGGACGCCTCTTCAATTTCTGAGGAGCGCCTCTTTGATTTCTTCTTTTTATAGAGGCGTTAATTTTGTTCCACAACACACTTGAGTACCCTCCTGTAAACAATCCCTTCTTGCAAAAAGAATCCGGCTTTTGAGAAAGGTGCCCCGACTCTTCGATTTGCGAAAGGACGCCTCTTCAATTTCTGAGGAGCGCCTCTTTGATTTCTTCTTTTTATAGAGGCGTTAATTTTGTTCCACAACACACTTGAGTACCCTCCTGTAAACACTCCCTTCTTGCACTTGTTTAATCTTGATCATTCCGACTCTCTTCTTTCTTTACCACCTCTGAAAAATGTCTGGCCCTTCTGATCGTCGTTTTGACTTGAACATTGGTGAAGAGGCAGCTCCGCCTTCACCAGACAACATATGGCGGCCATCCTTCATATCCCCTACCGGTCCCCTTACCGTGGGGGATTCGGTGATAAAAAATGATATGACAGCTGCGGTGGTGGCCCGAAACCTTGTCACTCCCAGAGATAACAGACTGCTCGCAAGGCGGTCTGATGAATTGGCGGTCAAGGAGTCTCTGGCTCTCAGTGTGCAGTGTGCGGGTTCCGTATCCAACATGGCCCAACGCCTATATGCCCGAACCCGTCACGTTGAATCCTTGGTGGCTGAAATACAGAGTCTCAAGCAAGAGATTAAAGGGCTCAAGCATGAGAATAAGGAATTGCACAAGCTCGCACACAGCTATGCCACCAGCATGAAGAGGAAGATTGACCAGATGCAGGACACCGATGGTCAAATTTTACTTGATCATCGGAGGTTTGTGGGTTTGTTCCAACAACATCTGCCTTCGTCTTCTGGAGCGGCACCGCGTAGTGAAGCTCCAACTGATCAACCTCTGCTGCCTCCTCCTTCTGTGGCCCCGCCGACTGCTGAAGCCCCGCCTACTACTGAAGCACCACCCGACCAATGAATACTATTAGTTTACATCATTGTAAAATATTTGTACTTTTTTTTTTTTTTAATTTTTTATTTATTTATTTTTATTTAAATTTTTTTTTTATTATTTTTTTTTATGTAATTTTTTTTTTTTTATCATTAATTTTAAATTTTATCTTTTTTTTTTTAAATTTATTATATCATTTTTTTTTATTTTTTTTTATTATTTTTTTTTATGTAAATTAAAGTAGAAAGACTTTGGTTAACCTTCCCCCATACTTAAACTAAATGACACAAACTCACAGAAATCAAACAAATAACACAACTAACTAAACAAAACAAAATGAAAGCAGTAAAGATAAGGGTGTAAAAATGCAAATCTGATTGGGTTAGCGATTCCAAAGTCTCCCTTCGTTGAATGCTTGGGTTGCCTCCCAAGAAGCGCTTGATTTAACGTCTTTAGCCGGACGCATCTTTCCTTTAAATTTCCCTCAGCTCCATTTGTGCCTAAAATCAAAGAAAGAAAAATAAATCAAATATCAAAAGTAAAATACACAAACACCAATATAAACATAAACAAAAACAAAAATAAAAGGATTAGCAAAGTTACTAATCCCCGGCAGCGGCGCCAAAATTTGATGTGAGAATTTCTTGACACACAAATTAAACCCTCTTTTTGACAATTGTAGTATGGATGTAAGTAGGGTATCGTTCTAGGCCGGGGATTAGGAGGGATTGCTAATCTATTCTAAATTAATTTAAAAATATTAAATAAGACTCAAGGACACAAAACTAGGCTAAAAACTCTAATAACTCGAAACACACTTAGAATGACTCAAAATAATGAAAACAATCAAATTAGACACTAGGAACTGAAATGGACGGAAATTGAATTAAAAGACTAACAACAATGAAAACTAACTAAATAATATAATTTAATAATGGGGGGGTGTTTGGTTTTGATGAAAAGTAAATTAAACTTAATTAAATTACAAAATTGACAAAAACATAAAATTAAGGTAAAATGATAAATGACGGACTAGCTAGAGGGTTCTTCTCCACACATGTTATACTTGCATACAAAATGATTTCCAGTTGTTCATTTAATAAATTGTGAATTTCAATACTCCAGATTAACCGTGAACAGCACTTTTTTAATCTTCAAGTTTTCCTTAAGTTATTGAATTGGACGGGAAAACGCATACAACAATTCAAAACATTCTTCAAAAGTCCCCTACGTGAAAAGCACAATAGAGATACAATCAAAGATCATTAAACTTTGTGAAAAACTATAAGCATTGACGAGGCATTCGTAAACTATGAAAAGCATGATACTCTTGCCAAGAATTTACTTAACGTGATTGTGACTAGCAACCTTTACTACTTGTGAAAATAAGTTCATAACGATTAGGTGAAATTCACTTATATTCTAGCATCAAATTCATGCATGTAAATTAAGCGTGCACTCTCAATCAACATACACAAATCAGTTTTTATACGAACGGATAAGTAAATTGAATTCACAACTTATAACTCACAACTGAAGGTAATCAATTCATATTACAATATATTCATGGTTTCGAATTAACCTCTAACCAACATAAATTTAATTACACATTATTAAAAACAGAAATAAAAGAGAAGTTTGGAAAAATTAAACCGAAAGAGGATCTGCTGCGTTCGTGCCCACACTGTGTCTTCCCTTCCTCAAGCTGCAAGGGCAGCGTGCTGACTCTCCTACAGATGCCAGAGCCTTATCCTTCTCTCCCCCGCTGTCAGGGCCTCTCCCTTGCGCCTTATGCACACTCCTGACCTCTCTCTCCACACGTCCCGTACTCCCCTCACTTCTTCTTTCCCGCAGCTCCTCGCAAGTCTCTCTCTATTTTCTCCCGCTACCCCAAAGGCAGCTCTCCCCCTTCCCGTCAGTTATTTCATTCCTTTTTTTCTCGCCTCACACCCCAGCTGCCAAAGGCAGCTTCTATCTCCCCCGCTAGCTATCCTCTCTCTCCGCAGCTTCACGCTGCCCAAAGGGCAGCCCTCTGCCTTCCACCAATTCCCCCCCCCCCGTTTCCTGCGCTCTTATTTCTATCTCTCTGACCTCCCCTCACTTCTGGAATCTCACTCTCCTGCTTCCTCTATTATTTTTCCTATTTTCTTTTTTCTGTTGCTGTCCACCACATTCTCTGCGCCTACTGCGCTCCCAGCTGTCTCTCCTGCTTCCTGACTTTTTCCCGCTCCCACTTCTCTCTATCCTCTTTCTGCTGCCGCAAGGCAGCTGTCTGCTTGCTGCTTCTCTCTCCCTTTTTCTGCTTGTTTATATTTTTTTTTTCTTCTTTTCCTTTCCTTCTTTTCCTTTTCCTTTCTTTTTCTTTTCTTTTCTTTTCTTTTCTTCTTTGCCGTTCCTTTCTTCTTCTACAAAACATGAATCATGATGATGTTTCAAACATCATCATGACTTGTTATTATTATTATATATATATTTTTTTTTAATTTTATTTAAAAGCTGATCTACACAGACAGTTTTGACGAATTTATTACATAAAATTTCACTTGTTCTATTTTTATTTTCTTTGCATAACAAATCCTATAAACACAAAAATAACGTAAATAGCTCAAAAATATAAGGAACTAACTAAGAAAAGACGAGTGAATTCGAAGTAAAAATATATATAAATATCATCCGATCACCGTGCACTGAGGGGCTCAACTGACACTGATGACATTGATGATACGGGCACCTGGGACGTCGTAGGAGTAGCCTCCGTAAGGGGTGTAGGCTCCCCAATCAATGGAGCACTCACGCCTGGAACACTAGATGCTGATAATGCAGGAGCTGCATTGGACACACTCCGACGACGAGTGATCAACTGCAACATCTATACACTTTATGAACCATAAAAATATAACATTAGAAACTAATCCTTTATTGCATTTGAAACTAATAAAATAGAAACCAAAGTAATATAAGTAATTAGAGCAATAATATCAATACAAGAATATTTAAACTAATCCTTTCTTGCATCTGAACAAACCCTAAAAGAGAATCACTATAGAGGATCAAATTAGTTAAACCGTGGCAGTATGTGTATTTTGTGAGCAAAATGATAGATTTTTTCACTGATTTGTCCACCTCATGAAAGGTTTAGATAAACTTTACATGGGATATGTGGGTTATTCTAATTAGAAACACGAGCAGGGCAGCCAATCTTCTCGAAACTGATAAAAAAGAGCAAACATTCAACATCTATATATAACTATAACATAAAAGTATTCTAATGAGAACACGAGCAGGGAGCAATCTTCTCGAAACTGAATGTTTTAGAAGCAAAAGTTTGCTACTAATTGAGATAATTAGATACCTTCTTCAGTTGTTGATTGGTGCTCCCACACCAGATAGCCTCTCTAATCCTTGGAGGTGCAAAGGTCGGCCCTTGAAGAAACGAGGAGTTATGTCCAAGAGGAACTCCAAGAAGAGATGTGGATGCCACAGCTCCTCCTAAAGCACGCACAAGCTCTCCCTACACAAAACCAAATAAAACCCAATTCACTAAACCAATTCCAAAGTCCAAGAATGTACCTAACATCCCATAACTAAAAAACCCAATTCCTTTTTATTACTAAATGCATACAAAAAGGTACTTAAAGGTCACCACCCATGCAATGCAATGAGAGAAGAGATGCATGGAGGAGATAAATTCAGAACAGAGAACAAACAACTTATGAGCAGTGTATGTACTAAACAAGAAAGCAAAAAAAGATGCATAATCCTTCAGTAAATAATGGAGGTTCAAAGAACAAATAGAATACCTCAGTTCAAATAAATAAACTTTAACAGCTTAATACCAATACAATACAGAAGCAGCACTCTAAAGCAAAAATTGGAAAAGTTGGGTTGTTGAAAACAATAACAAGAGTTAGGATTACCTTTTCAGATTGAATACATTGAGTGAGATACTTCAAGCCAAGACAGAGACAACATCACATTACCAGCGAACCGAAAGCCAATGATTAGGAAACTGCTGCAATTGGAAACACAAGATGAATAAAACTACTATTTTGCACCTTTTACCACCTCTAACCTTCCACCATTAAACATGTTAAGAAATGTAGACGGTATTTAAATTTTAGCGACATTTCAGGATTTAGGACAAACAATGTATAGTCTTCTTTAAGCAAAGTAGGCAAAAATTAGGGTCATTGAAACGGAATAGGAAAAAAAAGAAAAAGTTACTCTAGCTTGCCAAGAAAGTTAGGATCAAGACCAACCAAAAGCAGGGTCCATATGATATGATCCTGCAAAGCCAAAAAAAAGGTCATAAGAAACACGGGAAAACTATTTCTGGTAGAAGGACGCTGCAAAAATTGGAAGATTTAGGATCCAAGCAATGACATGGAAGAGGCATAATGAACCAACTGCTCCACTTTGAATACTAAAATTCAATAGTTAGGCAAGACCATAATAGTGCCTGCAATAATAAGACTAACAAAACTAAACAAACTTCGGAGACAAAATTTTGAATCCTTTATGCAAATCCATGGATTAATTGGAGAAAATAAAGGAATTAAAAGTTAAAAGTTAAAAACTACTAGAGTGCAAACAATACGATAGCTACCCTTTCAGCAAAGAAAGCAGATTCGCTTCTATAATCCAACTCTTCTAACTAAACCACCTTTTCATCTAATCTCAGTGATTCTATTTTGAGAAACAAGTAACATTATTGCATTCAGAAGTCCAAAACTTTGCTACTAAAAATGACATAACTAAACACCACAATCGATCATTTTATCATTCAACCACCAAATATGTAAAATTTTCACTACTTAACATATGAATTAATATTCCTTTTTTCA